CTTTTCTTTGGATCAAACCGGTGTTCTTTTGCAGCCTGCTTTTATTTACCTTGCATTTGTCTGCTTGCAAAATTACATTATCCTCTGGCCTTCCCTAAAGCAATGGGGATAAGCCTGTAGAGTAGAAGAATAAACCCCAGTATCAAAATTTGAGTTGTGACAAAAATCTGGGACATTCCCATTGCCAGGTTATTACAGTCTGTACTGCAAATGTGTGTATTCTGTTTTGAGTAAGAGACATTTTGATAAAATGATCATATCCTTATTCACTGTCCAATGTGTAGTTGTGTTGTTGTGCAGGTTTGTACGTGCGCTCTCCCCGATCAGCTGATGGGGGTTTCATGGCGGGGGGCGGGTCTGGAGCATTCTCCTCGGCCTCCAGCTCATCTTCCTCAGGGACCAATGTAGCTCCCGGGCCTGGAGGTATGTCTGCAATCTTACTGTCAGTGGCGGATCCAAAGGGGGGGCGAAGGGGGTGACCGCCCCCCCTCGGGAATACATATACGTATATTTTTTACTGCATGTATAGGCCTACAGTAGTGCATACAAATTGCGTAAAATAATTTGTCACACTAACTTTGGGCAAAGAAATTGTATAAAACTGCCATTTTGGGGACTTAGTTTACACCTATTTTTCGGGGGGTACCCCCAAACCGCCCGGACCCCCAGGTTCGCCCCCCTTGTGACTGTTCTAGATCCGCCACTGCTTTCAGTTCAATTATTAATTATTTTTGCAAATAGAAAATGTTATTAAATTGTACTATTGAGTATTAGAATTTTTTTTAACTAGAAACAATTTAACATCCAAAAATTATTTGGATTTTGTGATTTAGTTTTACTGTGTAGACAAGTACACCATTATACAAACACAAACACACACACATTCTCCCATTTGTTAGTCACCAAAAATATAATTTTCCTATTTTCAGGATATGGTAACTTCAACGCCTTCTCCAGCTCCAGCAACATGGCCCCTCCTCAGTCGCTCTACAGGGGGGGTGTGGCTGCTGGAGCTAGCTCTGGAACTCCCCAGGGTCAGCCCCCGTACTCTGGGTTCTCAGGAGCCGGCGGGTTCCCTGGGTTCCCAGGTTATAGCCCGTTTGTTCCTCAGTACGGTCAGCAATACCCTTGGACGCCCTTCCCTAACTTCGGAGCACCTTTTGACTTCATGAACTTCCTCAACCAATACTTCCAAGCTCTGCAAAGCTTCCAGGCTCAAGCTGAAGCTCAAGCTCAGCAGGCTGCTGCTAAGTAAGTGATTTCATCGATTAGTAAACGTGTTTTTCCAGTATTGGTGTTGTTGTCTAAAATTTTTTAGTTTTAATAATAACTGCAATATGTTTAGCAGTAAAATAATCGTCCTGTAATCCAGCTACTAGGAGGTCACGAATTGCGGATATTTATAGCCATGCACTATGGATGCGATACTCCCTGGTGTGGATTAAAGTCTGCACGGGTGAGTACTATGACTAACCGCAGTACTATCCTGATAATTAGACCAATTCGTTAATACTAAGCCAAAATGTGGTTGGGACTCCAATATGAACTGTAGGTCTCTTAGTTGCCATTAGCTGTAAGGGCTATTAATTAACAGCTCTGTGTCTAAGGAATATGTCGGCCTTAGTCCTTAAAATACCTACTTTGTATGTTCACTATTTCAGTGGAAAGTATTAAGTATTAAAAGCATACATAACATAGGCAAAAAAATAGCAAAAAAATATGTTATCTATAGATGTGTATTGTTTGCTGTACTGGTCAAGAGAGTTTTAGTTGAGTGTGTACTGTATTACCACCTAAAATTCTCTTATTCCAATATAATGCTTCATAGCAAAATCTTGAACACTTAATAACGTTAGTAAGTGTACAGAGCAGTGACAAAAATGAGTACCAAGAAAAGTACAAAACCGGGGTTTGTAGTCATGACGTGTTTCTTATTATTTTTTTTTAACTTCCCAAATGAATCCCACATTGTAAAAATATACCTTGGGGAATAGAAAGGAGTAGAAAAACTAACTGTCTACCATAATTTATCAAACTAGAACAGCGTGTTTTATAAAAATAAAAGAGTCGGCTCACTATAGAAATACACTGTTGATCAAAGAACTACACAACTTTTATGTTTCAATAGCTTCTAACTTTGAGACATTAACAGGTTAAGATTTCAATCTAAAAACTTTTTAATAAGAAAATCAAACATAACCAAGCAAAAATGTTATCTTGAATCACATAGACTGTTTTTCATCCAGAGCTTACCATTGCTTTATGCATTTGTTAACGATTGTAGTTTCTTCCCTAACATCCATATTAATTTTAAGCAATTTTTCTAAAAATACCTGTATTTTGTATTAATTGGATGGCAAGCACTCAGTCGCCCTTTAACCACACCTTCTTCATGCAATGCTAAATAACTGCTTTCAAACTCTAATTTGCACATTTTAGTTTTCAGCTTTTTCATTTTATTTTGCTTCTATTTGCCACTTTACCTAACACTTGCTTTGCTCTTCTTCTTCTCTTCTCACAGCGGACATGGAGTTTACCACAAATTCCCTGGAGGTACAGTCTGGTCCTACTCCTACCCAAGATCACCGCTCTTCGGGTGGGTGAGGTATGTCAAACAGAGGACCTTCCAGAGACCAGTCTCATAGTTAAGATTCTTTAATTCAGATAATATGTATACTGTATACCAATATATGTTCCTTGAAAAATATTGTTAACTAAACAACCTGCTAATTTTATAACAGTTTCAACGCCAATGGTATTTTTGTAAATAAGAATATTTAAAGGTTAAAGAAATAGTAATCAAAAACCTTTCACATTTTGTGGAAATGCCAAAAATTTATGTCCTTCTTGCACCCAAATCTGATACGCCCAAACACAAACATGTGATACGCCCAAACACATAAAGTGATTTTGGTACCGTAGTGGTGTTTGAAGAGAACCAGTAAGACAATGTAGTTGTAATCATAACCTAGGAGATAGAGACCACCTCACAATTTCTGAGTCAATAAATAAAAAGAGAGTACCAGTGTTGTTAAAAGAATTTAGAGTTTGATGCTAGACCGAGGAGTAGCTTTAGTGATAAGAACTTGCGATGTTAAGCCAAACGCTGGTTTTGGACAGGGCGCCTGCACTGCCTCATCACTGAAGTAGTCACACATCACTGTAGTCACCACATCACTGTAGTCACAACATCACTGTAGTCACCACATCACTGTAGTCACAACATCACTGTAGTCACCACATCACTGTAGTCACCACATCACTGTAGTCACAACATCACTGTAGTCACCACATCACTGTAGTCACCACATCAAAGAAGTCACCACTGGCTTGTTGTGACTTATACTGCAACATTACTTTGCTGTCTTTATGATGACAGTTAAAATTAAATAATCAACCCATGCAAGGGTGAGAAAGTTATGCATCTGACACACAAGCTGAAATGAGCCAAAGCATTTATAGGCTGAAAGGTTCATAAATCTAAACTCGTAACACAAGTAACATTTAACATTTCCATTATGTGTTCTAGCGGAGGTCTACCTGTGGATACTAACGAGGTAGGAGGAGTGGGAGGACTAGCTACAGCAACTTACGGACCACAGGGAGGCTATGGAAGTGCTAACGTCTTCCCTAAACCTGATGGCGGTTTGGACAATAGGTGAGATTTTATAATTGTAATGCTTATTTTTAACCAGAAAATAAGGTTTTTTACATACTCTTTTACTGCATTTACTGTTTCTGTTTCTTCACTTTACCAAAGCATATTCACCATGTATGGGGAGGACTACCTGTATAGTTTTCTCGTTTTTTTTTTAGTGAAGTTATAAAGTTATGGTTATGTAAACAATACCAATTTAACGGTCCAAATTTATACATTATCGGTATAGAGTCATACCTCTATGGAATCCAATATGATGATTTAAGAGTTTTTTATTTCCAATAAAACTTCTAACAAATCTTGAAATTGTTTGACTTTGTAATTTCTAGATTCGGAGGGTTCGACGAGACCCCCCAAAACTCGCTGGGTGGGGCCCCAGTGTCCAGTGTCAGTGGGAACTTCAAGCCCCCTGGAGGCTCCAGTTTTGGAGTCTTCACCTCATCATCATCTGGTTCCAGTGACATCAACGGGAAGAAGACCAGCTTCAAACAGTCAAGCATCGGAGTCAACGACAACGGAAAAGTCACCACTTACACAGCACATGACCCTTGAATATCATTACTTTATATATGAATAAATGTTATTGGAAACAGTTTGTTTGCATTTTTATTATTTCTGTCTTGTTCTGATTAATTTTCATATTTCAATGTCAATGATGGTGTATTTTTAAATTATTGTGTTGGAACGTTTACATTGTTGTTTTGGTGGTCTCTAATTTAACTTACTAGAAAGAGAAAAATTATTATTCAAGCAAACCCATAAATCCGATTTTTTTTAGGTTTAGTCAATTGTAAATGATTTTGAATTCAACCATTAATATTATTCACGATGGTGTTGTCTACAATCCCTATTATACTAACTATTGCTCTCAACACCCAAGCCAACCTGTTTAAAATGCATTGAATTATTGTTCAACAAATAGCTAACCAAGTAAAATTAACTCATCCGATAAAAGTTGTCTTAATGAAGACATTTATTTTGAAATATTTTTTATGTCCAACCTTCAAATCATAGAACGGTAGGTTCTAGCCCGGGAGCATTACTTGAGGCTAGGCGTAGAGGTTGCAGCAATATCAGATAGATCGAATATATTGGTGGTTATAGCGGGATTTGAACCTAGGGGACCAAAGTTCTGCGCTTTAAACTCTAGACCAGCACATTAGAACCTTATCTAAAAAAATTAAGGACTCTTTAAGTGACAAGGTTGAAGTATCCCTGAGGTTTATATATTTTGTAGTTTTAGGTTAAACTAAACCAACCCTTCTTTGTAGAACAGAGGAGTATACATAGATACATTTGTGTACAGAGAAATGTGTATTCATAACAATCAATGACTTTACAAATATTTAGAACTAACCGTAATACTGCGGTCTCTCAGTTTGAGAAGGGGTTGTTGAGTTTACAACGTAAGTCATAGTGTTGTTGCCCATGTTGTTGGTGATGAGGGTTGTTGCGGTTATGTTACCGTTGTTGTTCACTAGATAGGTGGTGTTTTTGTTGGATGTTGCCTGGCCGTCCATCTCACTTCCATGAACCTCCGTATGGACAGTAAGTGTTTGCAAGCCACTGTGAAAACAAAATAAATCAAATGCCAGTGCGACTATTGATACAATGTATGAATGTTTTTGAATTAAAACTGCAAAATTTATTTCTTGTTGATCTGTTAGCAAATAAATGAAACCCAAATAGACTACTGGGATTTTAAACAGCAAATAAGCAGGAAAGAGGATTTAACTTTTATCATAAAAAAACTATTAAATATGGCTACAGTAAGTTAAACAATGCGGTAGTTAAACAGTACAGCATTAGTATTTGTTTTCATAAACGTCAAAACATTTTCTCTATAGAAAAACAGAGGTCTCTGAATCCATTGTATTCTGTCCCAGATTATGCATCCTGCTGTTATACATATAAGTTTTAGAGTAAACAATTTCATTTGAATAAAACCATAGATTAAACATACTCCCTTAGATAAAACATAACTTACTCTGGAGAGAGAGGGGTCACAACATTGCTGTGAGAAGATGAAAGTATCTCATAACTCAGTGGTCCAGACTCGTCTGCACAAAAGTAACAAAAAATTCAGACATCTCACTAACTAAAAATGTCAACAATGAAGTGAACTCTTCTTCAAATTCTAAAATCGGGTAGATAATTATTTTCATTTTCTGACTTCATTTATTTAGTTTATGTGAAACCTTAAGCTTGTGTCTCATGTTTGATAACGATGAATGTCTCGTTTCTGACCACTCAATTTCACTGTTAGTTCAGGGTTCATGTTTCAGTTTTCACCAAAAAGCTTTTTGTCGATATGCCAGATAATTACAAATAGTTTATTAGTAGATTATTTTGGTTTCAATATAGTTTTTAAGTTTTTGTGAAATAACAAGAATAAATAGCCAATTTCTATAAATATACACAAGACATGTTAGAAAAGGACAATAGTTGATGCACACGACAAATTTACAAGCTGTGTTTTCAATGCTTCAATGCACACCAAGCAATGCATGAAATGTACAATTGTTATTTAAATGTACTCGCTAGCGTAACTAGAGTAAGTAGCTATGATGGAGGGACGACTCCCTTGGAGTTGACGTTATGGTAGACTTTTGAGATGAAAATATAGCTGTAAAATGAATTTATCAAAAAATATTCAAACATAAATGTCAATATTAAGTACCTATTATAAAAATTTCACTGTTAAATGTAGATAGATTTATTTTTTAAACAGCATGGATCAATATTTCCCTTATGACCATAGAAGGATGTTACTTTTTGATGGCAAAAATCCATTTTAAAATGTGGATTCCAGCATTTGTCTAAAATTTTACTAAGAAAAATGGATAAGCGAGTGTTGAAAATTCAAAGAGGATACAAAATCAATCTAGTTTTAATTTACATTTAACATGAATTGCAATTCATTATCTTTGTAAATGTTTCATTACGAAAATGTCTTCAATTTTATCAGTTTACATATAAACTAGTGGCTTGTAGGGGCAATAGCCCCTATATACAGTATATGTAATATATTCTAATAATTATTTTGTACAAATTATTTGTCTCATGGGTTACCGTACCCTACCTTGAATTATCGTTTAAATTTTTTGTATATTATAATAATGTATAACAGTTATCACATACCTGCATAATTCATTTTTATGTCTGCTCTGTTTAGGATAAAAATTCAAAAGGACTCTTCATGTGGTGGGTTTGTAACATAAATTTTCTAATCATAATACAGCAAAAGAACATTTTCAATAACCTTCACTATTAATTAAATATATATAAATTTTTTTTAATATAGACAAATTCACTTAGAAAAACACAACACATAGAGATAATGTCATCTTCCAAATTGTAAAATACTAATTCTGTAACAAAATCTCTCTGAAAACAACATTTGTTGTGTAGTATCTATCCATTTTGGTCCATTCCTTGGTCTTTATTTGTTTCTATTTCTATTTTAACGTCATCTGGCCGCTTTACCCGGCTAAAAGCAACATAAAGTTGACCATGGGTAAACACTGTTTTTTTTTTTTTTTCAAATAAATTCCAACTTTTGGGAAGGTTTGGCCTTGCGCTTTATTTATAGTAATGGTGAAAGATAATCGCAATGGGAATTGAATCCTTTGTAAATTTAAAGGGCATATTAGGATCTGTAGATATTAGTTTTATTTTTGGCATGAAAAATATGTTCCCTTTCCCTACTCCAGTAATTACTACTAACTTTACACTTTTTTCAGACATACCCAACACAACCAATCGTACTCCATTAACTAATCCAGACCCTATTTCTTATGAGCATCACTATTGAACCAACTTTTAAAACTAATTTGTGTAGTGGCATTCCAGATGGTGTAATTGAATTTATAAACTCAATTGGTATGTTCAACCTCTCTGTAGGGTCTTCTGAAACTACTTCATAATTACTGTAGTAGATTTTTAATACTTCTTCATTTAAATTATCACTATGTTCATTTAAAGGACATACAATTATTTTATTGGAGTAGTTTTGAATATTTTCTGGATTTATTGAGTTGCCATAAACAATTGCACAATCAGAGAGAACAAAGTTATCTGGAATGTCAATTGTCGGTGTTGCCCTATTGCTCTCTAAGATTCCATTACCTAATATAAGCGTAGAAGCCAATCACAAAATGCTGTTTCATTTTCATTTGCACGCATGTTTACTTTCAAATGCACTTTAGTTACATACAATACATATATTACATACTACCTTTAACACTATTAATACAACTTTTGTAGCCAATAGTCAATGATATTACCATATGCTTTAAATAAATCTAAACCACATGTTTTAAAGTAAACAAATCGGACATGACCTGGATTCCCATGCTATTTAAATGTGATTTATTTTATCCTGTAATAACCTTTTGGTGCATAAGTAAGAAAAATGAGTATTTTTCCCCAAAACTTCATGCCCAGACCTTTAAAATGAGACCCCTCCCAGCTTTCTACGGCCTCCAGTTCGCTCACAATTTCATTGTAAAATTTTGGGCTTACGGAATTAGATATATAGATAGATAATTCGTTTAAATTGTAATAATTAAAGTTGAACCTACCTTCTTGTGGAGCACAGAGCACAGGAATACATAAAACACTAACAAGCAGAGAAGAAATTCTGATCAACATGTTTCTGGTTGGGTGCCAGCTCCACTAAATCTAGTACATTTGGTTCTGATCCATGTTCCGTGTGATTGATTAGATCTGAGGAGACCTTAAGTTGTTTTGTCATCTATTCTCATATTCTTACAGGAAAGATTTATAATCTAACTTGAATCTAATACAGGACATTATTATTATGTCTGATCCATTATTGTTTGTTTGTGTTTGATACATCATGTCAAAATATTTTTCTAAAATGTAACATGATAAATGAAATGTTTCTTCAATTTGTGATGATTTGGTGAATAGTTTTCCTGTTTTGATAGTAGAAATAGTATATTTCATTACTAGGACCGAAAGTGGCATTTTCCGTCGCACGCTCAAGTTTTTGTGTGAGGCAAAGCCGAACACAGGGTACCCCAATTTCACGTGCGAGGCGAAGCCGAGTATGTGAGAGCTATTTTCACGTACGAGGCGAAGCCGAGGACGGGAATAATGGAGCAAGTGCCGGATAATAACTTTCGGTACAAGTTATGAACGATACTTTTCATCACGACGCAATACAAGAACACAGAATAGCAGACCTCAGTAATATTGCAACTATTTTATTTCTCCAAAAATTTTATTGAACATCAAAATAAAATAAAATCTTCTAAAAGGAAACTTACGCCTATTTTTTATTATTTTTTAAAACCAAAAATTAGGAGAAAATATTCTAAAGTTAGCCTACGTATATTTCTCAAATAATTTTGTTTAAACATCGAAATAAAAGAATAAAACAACGTTTAACAATACACACAGCTGATTCAAATCATTAAATTAAACCGTAACAAAACACTAGCGCGCGTAGTGAATAAATGGAGACCTAATTGAGAGCGAGGGAAAGTAAATTTAGAGCGAGGGAAACAACTACTTTCATTGATGTCAGCTGTTATTGAAAATAGTTACTTTCGTTAAGGAGTGATGAAAATAACTTTTACCTATGACAGTTTTTTTTTTTTTACTAGCCTTTTTAATTCAGTTCATAGAAATGAAAAAAATCACTTTAGTATCGGTATGTTACTTTACAGTACAAGTTTAGGCCAATTATGTTCGAGAATTGAGAGAAAAGAAGTAAAACTGTAATAATTTGAAAGTCAACTTATCAGCTAATTCAGACCAATTTAATTGATTAAACAAAGAGTGGAGGGGTTGAGATAATGAGTCTTGCATTCCCATTGTTGGCAATGAGAGGTTATGAACAAAAACATAACCTTAAGTATTATCTTTCTTAAGTATAATAAATATAAGCATCTATCTTAAGTATAAGTAGTAGGCCTATTAAGTATTATATTTCTTAAGTATATGCTATGTAATAGAAACTAAATGAAAACAACAAAATATATCCAGGCTTGGTTGTACCCTCTTAGTATAAATTTCATTCTAATTTTGCATCCCTTGTACCAAAATTAACATTTTGTTGTTGTTGAAATAAATGTACTGAGCCTTTTAAACCTATGAACCTAAATTAACTAACTGGAAGGGTAAAAAGTCAAATCTGTTGTAGTAAAAATTTAATTTTTTAATTTATTTTTTACCAAACAACTAATCTTCTTCCTTGTCCACTTTGTCGTCAATATTGATGGTTGGTTTCCTGGTCGGAGCTACTGCCGAGACGCATGGAGGGGGGTGATGATAGACTGGGGGCTGACACGGCTGACTGGAGGGGTAGTTGTATACGGAAGGGTACGATCGGATCCACGGAGTCCACTGTCCATGTCTGCTGGGAAAGTTGTACGGATGTCCGTTGAAGTGATCATGGTAATCGTGGTGCATTGGATAAACCGGGACAACACCCGGATTTTGCTTGGAAGGCACCAACTTCACAGGTATTTTATACTTTTTATTTTGAATGTTCTTCTCCAAAATCCAAGTGTCCTCAATATCTTTTTCATCAGCAGCAACTTCTACATCCAAAGATTCTTTGCGGACTGGAACTTTGGTATTGATTCCATCATTGAAAACAATTGTGTGCACTTTTGAATCCTCATCAGTTTTGGGGGCATCAACACCTTTTATCACGGGTACAGCTCTTACTTTGGCAGGTTTTGTTGAGGCATTTTCTTCATCATCGACAACCAGTGGAAACTTACAGATGACTCCAGGTTGAGTACAGTCAACTGAGATTGGTTTCTTCTTCCCAGCAAACACAGCTTCATAAGTTGAATAATCATTCAGTGGTGAGCCTATCTCAGGTCTTGGGAAAGCAGACGCAAACGATTCAACATCCTCTACTGGATCGATCTTGGAGACGATCTTGAAACCTCCCACAGACACTGAAACAGGAATTAAGAAAATGTTTTTTTCTTTTGTAGAAAATTACATATTTATAGCACACTGTTTACTGATACCTTATTATTACTGTGGATGTTAGAAGGAATTGACTCAAGAGGAGGTTTAGGATGGGCCAGGCTGTGACAATCATGCTCATATCCACAAATACATCCAATCAAATCCCTTCTTCAACCTGTCTAATATTAAAATTGCAATATATCAATTATTGGCGAGACACTAAATCAAGGATTTAATCATAATGAAGCTTGTTGTGAGAGGATTCTCAATATATCCTTTAAAAGGATTGTTTTTGTTTATACAGGTTAGTAAGAAAATAATTTGTTTCCGATAAGTCATCAAAAATAATTTATCAAAATTTTCAATCCTCAATATCACAAAAAGTACACATGAAAAAGTGAACAAATCAAAACCAAAATTAAGGTCTATATTGTGTGATTTGGATGCTCTTAAAAGAATACTAGGTGCAGTAAAATAGTTAAATACTTGATTGTTTCTAAAACCACATCCTCAGTAGCAAGTGTGGACAGCAGACTTTTGTGCTCATCGGATATGCCGCAAGCTGATTCCAGACCTACAAGTTGTCGGTCCCAATAAAAAAAAGCCAGTCAGCCGCCATCAACATAGTGGAAATGTGGCTTTAAATTTGCCTAATCATTAATCATGTCGCTTTCACTTCACACCGGGTTTCACCACTGATTTATTTTGATTATGGAAAATGTCGATAGAGGTTGTATGCAGCAATTAAATTTAAAGTTCTGGTTGAAAGCAAAACTATGTTTTATTTCTAAAAACTATGTGGTTTACATCAACTGCCGATGCGTGACACGACTATGAGTGGTACAATTGCTGTCCTGAGGGAATGTCCCGTGATAGTCCTGCCTCTCCAACAATGAGAGCCATACAAGAGGTATAGGAATATGCCTTTTACTAGTAACAGTATTAACAAAGTAAGAATAGATTTTTAATTGTACATTGTATTTTATAAAACTGTACTTAATTTTTTTTATTCAAAGTTATTAGGTATCAATAATTTAGACCAAATAAAGGAAAAGCACTAAGCCTGGTACTACAATTTGTCCAATACCTCAATTTATCGCCTTTTTTACCTGTACTTCATACAGATTTTTGTGGTTTCTTATATTTGAGTAAATGTCAATATATATTTGAATTATTTATTTAAACTGGTGGTAATTATGAACAAATCCTTAAATATAATATGTGAAGGCGTTTTCTACAAAACACTACTAGGCCTACTCCTTTAATAATGGACGGATTTTTACAAACGATATATGTCAAAATTAAGTATTTTTTGTGTAGACCCCCCCTTTCACCAATTCTTGTAATAAAAGTCCTTGGGCTTGGCCCAAAGGCCATCAAAATCCCAATGCATTTCTTATGGAGAAAAGATTTTGTTTACTTAAACAGACGAATAATTTGTATTAATTACAGCAGTTCATAATAAACACATAATACACATAAGAGCGTTCGTTTTCAGAGTGAGTTTGTTTTTAGTTTCGATAACTGGAGTGGAGTGATTGATTCCATTATCTTTGAGTTGACTCTTTTAAGTCATCGGAAATTATGACTGTTATTTGTTTTGAAATAACGCCTGTAATACTTTGCAATTGCTCGAATTCGAGCAACAGGTGCACTAGTTTTTAAAAATACTTGTGTGAAATAATCCAGGGTTGCTGTAGTGGCAACAATGTCTACTACAAAAATGTACAATGTAACAATGTCAATGTGCACTTTATGCATTGTGCAGGTATTTTAACCATTTAGAGACATAAAACAGTGATCAGGCAGCTACATACTCTAAAAAATTGAAAAAAAACCTATCATTCCTTACCTGAGGACAAAACGCAAGCTGCGACTAATACAAACATGTTGAATACACAGTGGCCAAAGTCCAACTGTCCTCAAGGTGGAAGGAAGAGGTCAATTTACTACAAAGGATGTCATCGTGGGAGGAAATGAACACCTGCCATTGTCTTGGCTGGTCTAACAAGGCACCTCGCAATCACACATGGGAAACTATGCGACACCTGGCTCGGATAATGCAGGTTTCAATTCCCATTTCAACATTCTGGTAGGGTTTTGAGTTGCTTAGTATGGAAATTAATTGCCCAATAATCAAAGGGATCAACAATTCTTACAAACACTTTAAACTAGAGACTTCCTGAGAGGAAAATGCATTTGAAAATTTGTTTCCCTATTCATCAAGTAGATATATTAGTTTTGTAATGTCCTAAACAAAATATGTCATTAACACTTTGACTATATCCTCTCAGGAAACGTGTTGTTCCCTTAGTTTTCATTTAGTTCTATAAGTCAATACTACGATCCTACAAGATAAAACTGAAAGGAAAAAACAGGAATTGTGTGTATACAATGATTGAACTCTAATATTTTGTCAGAAATACATTTTATTACACAAATATTACAAGAACTATACAAAATGTACAAATCACATAGGGGAAAACACGGCTTCACTGGACAATGGACTTGATCTCAGAGGATGTTTACATTACTGAAAGTTCCAGTCGAGGAATGAAAGAACATCTGCAACATGCCTGAATATTTTAGTTAAATTATGGTATTCAGAAATGGCATTATTTAAATTATTTACCCAACAATTTGTTTTGAGTTTTAAATACATCATTGTGTAAAAACACTTTACAAAACATAAAAATATTTCAACAATTAACGTTGCCTGATTGTAACATGGGGTTGCAAC